TTCAAATAGCACAGTCAAATTTCCCTCTAAAATAAAAAAGTTGAATTTCAGTTTTTTAAAAGTTAGTGGAGAATAATAACTAATAGCTGCTGCTTCATGTTTGGTATTGGTTCTGGGAAGAAATGCTAGAAGACACGAGGGGTTTGAGATATAAAAAACAAAAACAAAAAAACAGCACAAAAATAACACGATGGTACAGTATTTGATCATCAGTTGTGTGTATGAGTGAATGCGTTCAATTTGTCCATAAATGCTGTCCAGAGGTCATTTTCCTTGATAAGATGGTAGTTTATCACATGGTGCTATAGTTCTGAACGCATTCAGAGATGTCCGCGTATAATAACCCACTAGGCCATTACATCCCCTCAATAGTACATCACCTCCCCAACTAGGCCATCACCTTCCAAAGGTAAAGCAAACAAGTTTTGCCTTAATTCCAAAATATAATTAGATCAATTAGAGTGAGAGAGAGACTGTCCTATCATCTCCATGTTGTCCTGAAGATTTGCTAATTCAGCTTCTGAAGTAGCCTTATAGCTGATGAGTTGTGTTTGTCTGATTGTAGGTTGGCTTTGATTGCTTTTAAATCATCCATGAAAGCTGTATGCAGCTCAGTCTTAAAGATGTCAGCAAAATCTACCCACAAAGTAGGTAGCAGTTTTAGCTTCAGTGCGTCTGTGCCATGGCAACACTACCTTAGATGAGACACGGAGTAGAGACATAGCATCACTTGGATCCATGGCTCCTGCTGGTGGGAGCAGCAAGCAACCAAATATTATTTTACAGGCATTGCAACTCAGTGAATAGTGAAGCATAATATTGGTATGCAGGAGAGAGTCCACGCATAGCTGATTGCAACAAGTGCTGAAAATTCCCAAATAAATTTACATCAGTTTTTATGAAGATTGGTGCATAATGAAAAAAAAATCGGATGTATCACACCTTAGTCTGAAATGCCCACAAGGAGCAGTTGGTCCCCACAACATGCTATTTTTTTCAGAAAATGGGCTGCACAATGTATGAAATACAAGAATATATACACAAAGGGTTTCCATTTAACAATTCAAAGCCTAAAACTAACAAAACATTTATGTAGATGATGAGTTTTTTCACACATACTGTAGAATGCTAAAGCTACAAGGAGCCCCGACAGTTAGCTGTGGTCATATGCAGCAAAAGTGATTTTTTCAGTGTTTGTGGGACATCAGTTCTGAATTATTTACAGCTCAGAACTGTAATGTTGTCTGATCTTGGTTTAAAATGCACATCAAAGATTCATGTATTACATTTTGCATTTTAATAACATAATCTGTGTTTATTCAGCTCTCTGTTCGAGTTTTAAAGTACCATATGTGAATTTCATTAAAATAAGGACATGCTTTACATTCTCTGGCCATTACAATGTGTTGGTGTGTGCAGACCAGAGTGAGAGTGTTTAACGTCCTAGCCCTCTTTCTCCTACCCCAAAGTGAGGTTTATTTTTGGGGTAAAGCATGTCGGTGTGCCCCCACATTGCACTCGCACTGTCAAAACAAATCGCCTTATGTGTGCTTATGTATTTGCAGGTATGTGGCTGGCGGATTTATTTTTATTTTCATGCTTCTGTGGGTATAAATGTTTACAATGTAAGGATGGAACCAATGATGTATGTTTTTCTTTGTGTGTGCAGAGCTCTGACATGTATATCATTTCTGCTGTATTTTCAAGGTGGAATGGAGTACAGAATACTGTATTTCAATCAAATGTAGCTTCAGTTATGGCACTTTCTTCATTGTGGAAAGCTGAACAAATTTCGATGCAGCATCTGCTGTAAACTGGTTTTTAAATTTCTCTCTATATATTTGTGACATGAATGAATGCAAGATTTGAGAAAAACTTTTTTTTTTTTCCATCCTTCAGGAAAACACAAAGAAAAATCAGTGAACCAAATAGAGAGCATTAAAAGTACAGTGGTCATGCAGCAGGATCCGAATGGGATTCCACATATTTGGTATTTCTGCAATCAAAGATGAATTAGCTCTATGTCCCTGTGCTGACCAATCAGAAAAATTTCTGTAGCTCCATCCATCCATCCATCCATCCATCCATCCATCCATCCATCCATCCATCCATCCATCCATCCATCCATCCATCCATCCATCCATCCATCCATCCATCCATCCATCCATCCATCTTCTTTGTTAGGCTAGCAGCTTCAGTAGGGAGGCGACCTGCTCTGTTGTCCCAGGCCAGCCGAGAAATATAGTCCCTCCAGCGGGTCCTGGGACACCATGGAGATGAATTTCTCCATGGTGTCCCAGCTCTGCAGCAGAATTCAGGAACATATTTCAACATTTTCTTTTTTTTTGCAGGTCAGTTTGTTGTAGGTCCACCATTGAGGAGGCATGACAGTCATTAATACCCATGGCAGTTTTTCATTTTCACAAACTAAACCTGCAAGTTAATAAATACCAATAATGGATGAATGAAAAGCTATATATTCAATAAAGTAACATTTTAACCTATTTGTTTTGTTTTGTTCATTATTTTTGACTCGCAAAATCTGACTGGAAGACCTAGCATGGTCCTTTGTAGTATGTATTTGCAGCACAGCTGACCAGGACCAGGAGGTCTATATCGACCGTTTCAGCTATGACTTTACTCTGGCATGAGTCCCGAGTTTGTGCAAAAAGGTTTAATTGATTTAATTTAGTCATGACCATTATCTGAGCAGAATCCCTCACTAGTTCCGCAGGGCCATCTCAGTTTGTGTGTTAATGAGTCCCTATAAATCCCAGCTATCAATCAGCTAATGAGTGTTGCTCTCTCCAGAGAGTTTTTACACAACTCTGGTTCATTTCCCTTGTTTTTCTGTTGGATTATTATACATATGTCATATTATACATATGTCAGTTTGTACTAAAAGTAGTTAAAGGAACCTTGTTTTGTATGAATTTAGTGAAATTAGGCAGTAGTTGAGATTATAACTAAAATATGGTTTATCTGAAAAAAGCGTATGTGTGGATTTAGATATCAACTCGACATACTAGGAAAATAAAAAAAATTGAGTGAATGTATCACTATTTTTATGGTTTAATTTCTGCTCATTTTACTAGGTGAATATATAGACTTAGAATACATCATCTATTAAGTTCAGGAGCTAGCTCACTCTGTAAAGTACTTCAGACAGTATCACAATTGTCCCGGTCAGCTGATTAACGCTGGCTATCATCCTCCTATAAACTTGTCTAAAATATTCTAGACCAAACTAAAGATATAAAGGCTTGAGTTTCTTTCCCAAAATTTGAAGTAAATAAAATGTACGGTAATAATTAATGAAGATTATTTCTGCACTCTGCATTTTTTTCCCAGAGAATCATAGCAAACACAAAAGAAGTTGTCTTCCAAGTTTGTGCGAAGCAGCCCATCAGATGTCAGACTCCCTGAAAATCACCTTATTATTTTGCTTTTCAAATGTAAACAGTGTAAACTACTGTATGGGGGGCTATTTTAACATTACTGTGCACTTTCTTTTACATTTCAAGTGAGATTTATTACCTAAGACATTGCTTTTAAAGGTAGCGGATTGAACTGATAGTATCTGATAGTATTTCCGGATTGAAGTTCAATAAGAATAAGATAAGAACTGATATATATATATATATATATATATATATATATATATATATATATATATATATATATATATATATATATATATATATGGTATAAGGTGTATTAAATTAGTTAATGACACATTTTTTTTCTCCATGTCATATTTTAATGGTTTCTTTAATTTTCTGACGGGATATTTAATGTTACAGTTTTGTTATTTCCTGTTAATTCTGTACCTTTAAACCAACCAGTTTTTTATTATTGCCAAACCAAAAAATAATAATTGTCATTAATAATATTTTAATGTTACATACTACATCATGGAATTTCACTTTAACATTGTGGGACAATAAAAGGATTTTCTACTCTATTCTATCGTGCAAAAGGCATCTACATCTCCATATTTTGTAATAATTTCTGTGGCACTAGATACTCTTGTATTAAAGAAAAGCATCAATCATCTTCACCAGCAGAGTGTCCCTCAGGCTACACCAACACTGAAATAGACCCTGCCTTTAGCCTACACTTGAAAGGAGAAAGAAAAGTCTATTTCTGTTGTACTGCAGTAAACCTGACAACAAAAAGGAGCCTCCTGTCTGACCCTCATGCCTCTGCTCTCCCTCAGTGCTCCAGAAAAAGCTAATCTTTACACAATGAAAAGTCAGACTAACACACTTCAGCTACAGGGAAATACTGAAAGTTTTTGTCTTTTAAGCCACCTAGAAAAAAAATACATATGTGGAAAAAGCCTCCTATCATGCAACTACATTAAAATTATACAGCTCTGTGGTGGAAAATAGCGGGGGATTGGTAATGGAATCAAGTATGTGTGCAGCACCTTCTAATTTATTAGGCATTTACATTAAAGTTCATATTTTTTCCAAACTCCCAAATGTTCTCATAATTAATCTTGACCTGCTGTCAGGTTCTCTTTGGTTGTCATATTATTTCTGTATGAAAACTGAAAGGATTTTTAACAAAAGTGACAAATTATATGTGAAGCTTGAGAAAACTTTTCTGCCAGAGACCATTCATAAAGTACCCAGAAATTGATTGTAAATCTGTTACTGTCAGGTCAATGCACTAAGCCGCGAGATCTGCATGTTACAGCATTAGCTTCCACTGCTAACTTTTAAGACAGCTGCTCATGTGAGTTAAGAGGAGTGGTTAAGGAATGTGTATTTTAGACTATTAAGTTGATCCTTTATTGGTTGCCAAATTAATGCATCTGAGATCGACCTTATAGCCTCTTGATGAAAGCTGCAGGCCTGTACCTCACCTGGCTTAATATAAATACATCTGTTGAACTATTGGCCTTTGTAAAACAAATTTCTTAATTCTGTTTTTGTGAAATGGGCCTCATAGAAAGATAAAGAACCATAAAAAATGAAATGTACACAGACAAAAAGGCTGAAGTGTTTTTATATCTCTACTGCAAGTTTATACATCAATATTATACAGACCATGTATTTATGGCTATTTATATGTCATTTGGCAAAGCATTTCAGGTCCTGACAATGCTGTGGGTTAACATGTATAATGAGGCATAAGATGTAGCACAGGGTTTGACAAATCAACATAATATCAAATGATTAGATTAAATAAAAACATTACCAACCACACATTGATAAATGCTGCAGAGATGGTAGAGTGTGTATTTGATTCGTGAAGCTGAGCTCCAGCTGACATAAAGACAACGTGGTGTCAGATATTTCCATATCCACCCTCCTTTACCATATTCCAGCTTAGTCAAGGTCTTCGAAAGAGACTTATGCATTTATATTTGACTTATCTCATAAACATCATAAGGCTCAGTAGGATTTTTTTTATTTTGCTCTTTAGGCCAGAGCCTTGAGCCTTGTCCTGCAAAAAAAAAAAATAGACCTATGGCAAAAAAAGAAGAGAAATACAGGACAAATCCAAAGAGCCTAAAAACTTGAACAGCTTCTGCAAGTTGAAAGAATTTTTTTTTCTTTCAGCAGACTTCTAAAGATAGACGGCACAGATTCCCTGGAGGAAAACTTTAGATTTTTAGCTCTGTAAAGAAACTTGACAGCACTTGACTGGACTTGTGTTGAATAAGAAAGCAGCTTCAATGTCAGTGAACTTGTGTTTCCTCTTTGGCACCTTTGAAAGGCTTGCGTGCATGTGAATGTGTGTGTGTGCGCTGGGCAGGTGAATGTCAGTGTGAGACAGGTTGTAAGCCAGATATCTATGAATCCCTCTGTCTCTGCGGAGCCTCTGCCTTCATTCTGAAGCTATCCCAGTAGGCAGGATCTTCTTCCGTCAGCGGCGAGGCCGAGGCGATGAGTTCACCATATGACAGCAGCGTGAATGCGGCTGGAGGAGGACGAGGCTAAGAGGAAATTAAAAGACCAACATGAAGGATATTTTTTTATTTAGCCTTTATAGTCCTGCTCCTTATCATTCATTTAGTCAGAGACTAATTTGGGCTGTAAGAAACCTTAAAAAAGACAAACATGTTCTGTGAGGCAATGAAGTCCAAGAGTTTACACAAATGGTCCTTTTTACTTCAGAGAATTGAATTTAAATGAAATATTTGATGTTTTTTAATAAATCATTTCAAACTGGTAAAGATGCGGCAGCCAACAGTGAAGAGGGAGCCATGTGGTCAGGATACAGTTTCCACAGCAACCATGTGCATCTCTTGGGGAAAATGTGTCAGCTTATTGCAGTGGCCTCAAGAGTAAAAAAAAAAACAATTTACAAAATAAGGAGTAATATGTGGGCAAACCTGTGCACACTAGGTAGTAGGGTTGTCATAATACTAAACTTTTAATCTAAATATCGATACCCGGGTAAAAATCTGTTATTTGGTACCATTTCCAATACGGTGGGAATAAAAAAAAGGCCTAAAAATATATTTATTAACATAAAAAACTAAATTTTTCTAGTTTCAGCATAGAACGTGTTTTTTTTCAGTAGAATCTAGATTCTAATTATTAGGTAAGTGTACAACTAAATGTAAAATAATTATCCAAATATAATACAATTCAACAATATATCTAGGTTATTTGAGATATTATTCTTTTAATGTGCAAATAATATAGAAATCTACAGATAAAAATAGCAAAACATAAATGCAAACAGTTTTATTTAGTATCGATACCGTGCAAAATTTGTTTTGTATCCAGATACAGTTTTTGATTATCAATACTTCTAAGATTATCGATACATTTGACAACCCTAAAAGGTAAAGATGTGTTAAAAGCCTTCGAAAAAATACTTTTTTTTTTTCATTGTAGTAGCATTAAATGTATAAAAACCATTTATTTATTTAAGTTAATCTAATTAGTGAGAGAGATAATCCTACGTTAAGATATAGTGGCACTCTTCCTGGAAACCCTAGCAAAACGGTAAGGTTCCAACATCCACTGAGAACTTAGCTGTTGCTGTGTGGTTTAGTAGAAGGAAATTAAGGTTGAGCCTCCCCTCAGCTAAAACCCAGAGTGGGTCAGAAATGAAACAAAAACTATGCAGAAAAGCATCTATTGCCAGGAGTTAGGTACAGTGGAGGGGCTATCATGATGTGGGCCTTTTTCTCTACATTCCAACATTGTGTGGAGCCATGTTTGGTACAGTAGCAGTTTAGCTGAATATCCCACAGTCTCTTAAAGCTACAGTGTGTAATTTTCAGCGACATCTAACGTCCAGACTGCAGACCGCAGCAACATGAACATCTCCCCCCCACCGCTTCTCCCCCCCAACAGTACGGCAAGCGTTACGGGACAAAATGTCTTCCACGACGTCCGCATCACCTACCTTCTCAAGTGATGAGGTTTGCTTACATAGATAATTTTACAGATAGTATTTCATTGGTCTGTGTGTTCAGGACCGTCTCAGTTCATCTCTCTCAACTTGCCGTAGTTACTTTCGAGCGTAATGGGCGATCTCGCAATCGCTAGTTTGTTGGCTCTGCGCTGCCGTAGTGCAAAGATGTCTGCCTCCATGGCTGCGAGACCCACTCCTATGTAATTATAAATAACGAATTCTATGGCAACGCAAATATTAAGGTTAAGAGGCTGAGCTCGTAGATGATGATAAATAACATAGTTATGTATAATGTATTACATTTCTGACTGTATATCCCTGTAATTATTACACACTGTAGCTTTAAATAACCTGAAATGAATTTTGGGTCTTTAATTCTACTGTAGATCCCTAATGTGTGTATTACCAAATAAAAGCAAAAATGTTTTGCCGAACACTAAGCCAATAACTCTTCTTCTATGTCCATATCAATGGAAGACAAAGACAAATGTCCAAAGGCTTCCTTTTCTCTGCATACTTAGATTAAGGTGTGTTCCTACTGGCAAACAAACAGTTATAGTTAACAGCAGGGTGACCAATAACTGCTGCAACAGAGATTTCATTAAAAACATAAATGAACTCAAGAGAAAACCTGAATTGGCTACAACTAGTATGAGATTAAGCTAAAGTAATAAAAGATTAATACAGTTAAGATTTTACACATATGTAAAAAGGAAATAAAAGATGAAAGGAAATAAAAGGAATAGACACTTCAATAAAGACTTATAGTCTCATAAATAGAGAATGTTTAAATATACCTCCCATACATTTTTTGGGAAAAAAATATCAAAGGCTCTGAATAAGCTTATTCAAAGAATAACATCTAAGCATCCTCCTTGTGAAAACTGGTCAAAGTGTGGTTTTATAGGTGCTCTAAAAAAAAAATACACTATCTTCCACACTTAAGAGTTTCAGGTAGTTTTACAACAACTAATTTCTATTAGACCCTGTTACTGATTACAGAAAAAAAAAAATCATTTTTTATTGAACAATTGAATGTTGAAGTAGTTCCAAGTTGATGTGAGACATTTCAAAGTCACCAAAAAATAAGCCAAAGAAAAACATAATTCCACCCTGGAAAAATTCTTGGGCGGGAATTTGTCTCTGAAGGTTGATTTATAGATACACATATTTGTAACTACCTACCTACTTTGCTGGGCCCAAAACCAAAACGCTAAAACAGCCCCACAGAAAGATGCTGTTGCCACTGTAGGTATACCAACTATGTTTTTGTTAGAGAGGATAGAGAAGTTGCAATTATAGCAAAATAATCATTTCCTCTTACATTTGTCTAAAAAAAGACACTTCTTTGTTTTTAAAAGGGCTGTTTTAGCTGAAATTTCTACCTTTTCTACCTGGTTTTTATTGATAAAAGAAATAAAAGTTGCATTTATTTCTAAATAAGAGCATTTCTACTGTCATTAAAGTTTGTATACTTACTGCAGAGAATCCATCGTTAGCTGGTCCAAGTGCAACAGCAACATGATGCTCAGCGTCCAGCAGGCTCTCCTGCAGAAGTACACAGACCCATCAGCAGATGTTTGGAGCAGCTTGTGTATGAAAACAGCCGTCCTTCCTTTTGTGTTACCGTAGTTCTGATTGACAGTAAAAAATACACAGTCCCCCTCTCCTAAATAACTTTTTACTGATTGACTGGCAACTGATGAAAGATTGCTGAATGCTTCTGTCTGAGACAGAAATACACAACAAAACCTCCTCGTGTCAAAGGTGATATATGAAAAGAGATCTCCACAGTATACAAAAGGTTTAAAAAAAGTACAATTAAGAATGATACAAACAATTGGTGTATATTGTTTTGTTTAGACATGAATACATGTTTTCTTAATCATTTTTATAGTCATAATACATGACTAGGACCCTTTAAGCATTGTTGTGCTTGTGCGTATAAACTGACCTGGATTAAAAAGAAAGTGGATTAATTATGTTCTCACAACTATGAGATCAGTGACTTGTTATTTGGTTCTGATCAGGAAAATATTCTTCTAGAACTTTGCCCAACTTATCACTGAAGAAGAGGAGGAGGGAATTAGGCCTAAATAACTGCTGCCAGCTTCCTCTGCTGCAAACAGCCCTACTTTCCATCCGGTATTCTATTTTGAAGAGTAGATTAGCTTGAGACCTGGTTTAATTTACACCTACAGAAAAATGGACCAGCCTTCTGTGCCTTTGGATTTGGACAACGACTTTGTATTGAACTTAAAACAGAACATAAACAGGTGGTGCAGTGTAAAGGTGTCATCTGTCAATAAAGGGTACTTTAACCCCTTCAGAGAAAAAAGCCATTTTGGACTAAATATGAGACTGTTACAGCTTACTTTACGATTCTTCTCTGATGATCGACTTTCAGTAATAAGTCAACTAAACCAGAAAGGAACGTGGAAAGACAGGTAGAAACGAATGATAACTTTTCAAAACAAACTTACTTCAAATATCCACTCTTCCTCTGGTTCCTCATCCAGATGCATCTTGGTCTGGTGCAGCACTGTTCCCTGTGTGAGAGGCTCAGCGGAGAGGTGAAACTCTGCCCTCTGCAGGTTGAAACCCAGACCTGTTCCAATTGCCTTGATGAAGCTCTCCTTCAGGGTCTTGGTGGAAAACCGAGATCAAGCTGATCAGTTACATGCACTTATAAAGAAAAGAAAACGTGTGGGAAAGCTGAGAAAGACATCTGAGTCTGGAGAGAGAGAGAGCATGTCTCTGTGCCGCAAACTACAACAGATGGGAATCTGTGCACACATGTTAAACGGTTTGCATACTGCAAAGGGGCTTTCTGTCTCTGTGTGCGGACAGCCAAAAAGCAGCCATGCCTCATGGCCAATAAGCCACAATAACACCATTACAGGGCTAATCACTATGGCAACCGTTGAGCTCTGCCATTAGTCAATAGTGTGGTGGTGATATCAGAGCTTGACGTCTCTGCGCCGCCCTCTCATTCTCACAGCATCTTTACTTAGCCCAGCAGTTGCTTTCAATGACCATCTGCGTGTCTTCAAAAAGCAAATGGGAAAGATGAAATAAAGGCAGCAAATACTGTGAGAAAGGCATGCCGAGGTACTAAAGAACAGAGGGTGTCGGTTAAGGAAGAAAAGCTGGAACGAAACGTCAATCAAACGAGGTCAAGCATGCAGAATGTACGAATGTGTCTAGAAGCACAGTGATAATCATATTTTCTCTCTCTCTCTCACTCTCACACACAAACACTAAACTGCCGGTGGCAGCCAGAAGCAGTGCAGTGTGATGACAGGGTGGTATGGTTGCCATGGATACCCAATGGCGGTAGAACGCGGCAAGCTGCTGGTGCTCCGAGCCGGCCGATTGGATGGTGCTCCACTCATGGGCTGTAAACTGACGAGTCATGATGCGGAAAAACTCTGGGATGGAGTTGCTACCTGCAGGAGACGGAGACATGAGGAGCAGCACTGCACATCTGAACGTAGAGGCTCAACACAAATGCTTAGACCTGGGTTTCAAACCAGCAGTGCTATGCATACTTTTTTTTAAGACAACAGCAGCACCTTGTGGTTAACCTGTGGAACTACAAATGTAATTTAAGACTATAATATTATTGTTGAACAGTTTGTTGGTTTGGATGCATTGATCAGTGTTCTGCTATGAACCAGACACCGCGGCTGTAGTAACACTGAAATGACATGACGCTCGAAGGGCGTTTTAGGCTTAATTCTTAAACCAATGTATCAACCTCTGCCTTTACCTGGCATTGTGGTCTTCATCACATCTACTCCAACCTGCACCCCTTGCTGTGCAGCAAGAACAGCATAGTCTCCTTGGTGGGAAAGGTTGAAACTCCAGGCTGAATCAGCAGTTGTGGTGACCTGCATTAACATAAGAAGGTTTCTAATAAGTTTAGTGTATTTTGACAGTTTGGTAAAGCTCTATGTGAAAATAAAGCCATTAATTTTGCTTCATAACCAAAATGAATAAGATTTTGTAGCTTGTTCATGCAGACCTGGGAATATCAAGCTCTCTCTGTCCAGGTAACCATCAGGAAACTAAGTCGGAATGACAAGTCTTAGATTTCTGAACCTACGTGTTTGTATTAAAGCTGAAGTCTGTAAGTTTTTAAAAATCACTTTTTTGTCATATTGGCTAAAACTGTCCCTATGCCCAGACAGCAGTACATGTGATATGTAACCTGTGAAAAAAACTGCTTCAATTGGTACCGCCTACTGCCTGTATTTCAATCTGGAAAGAATAATTCGGGACGAGTCAAAACAACCAATCACAGCTAGAGGAGCGTCTGATGGAGTGTCAATCACAGCTCACACACGCTGAATCCCCCCCCCCCCCCTTCTGGTCGCATGCGGTAGCCGCGCAGATGCTGTGAGAGGGGTGGAGCTTGGAGGTGGGGCATGAGTGAAGCAGAGAGGGTGGGGGAGTGGCGTGAAACCTGTTTTTCTTCAAATTTTCAGTCGAAGTCTGCTCTCTTCTCAATGTTACAGACTGCAGCTTTAAACTAACATTACATAAAAAACATGTATCAGAATATGACAAAAAATATAATAAAAGCTTCTAAAATTAGCTTGTTTTTTTCTGCAATTTTATTTTTAGATTTGTTGCTGAAATTCAAAATATAAAGTTAGATGGTGACACTTAAAGTTTACTAATTCTGGGTCCAAAGGTTTGAATTACCTCAGTAATTAATAAATCTTTTCTATTGGACTGTAATGGTAAGATATAAGAAAAGCAAGGCTTATATCGAGCACATTTCAGTAACAAGACGATTCAAAGTGCTGTACGTGAAAAAAAAGACACATCATAAGAAAATTGCAGTGCCTTAAAGATATATAACTAATGAATAAAATAATTAAAGGGAATAAAAACAAATAATTAAAATAGAATGATTTTATTAAAAGAATGTTAAGAATGTTTGATAAGAAATAAAAGTTGGACAAGTTGTTTTAATAGCAATAGTCAAAGGTCATTAAAACATATGTTTTTAATCTTGATTCAAGGAAATTTGGATATCAGAAATTTTCTTTGAGAGGTTATTCCAGATTTGTTGAGCATACAAACTAAAATCATCTTTTACAGCAAACAGTGAAAACATAACACCTTATTATGGGCGCTAGTGTTACACAGTTAAAGGAATAGTACACCTAAAACATGATTAGCCTTTATTTTCTACTCACCCCCATGCTGAACAACACTCTGGAGTACTTTTTTGATATCTCAAATGCATCTGGAGATCTGGGAGGCTTCTTGCTGTCTGCTGACATTCAAATAATGGAGGTCTATGGTGCCCGAGACAGAAAGGTCCATAAAAGTCCACAAAAACGTGTCAATATTCCTCCATACTGCTCGTCCAATGTATTCCAAGTGTCCTGAGTGGGTAGCATCCAGAATTTACTCGAAACGAAGTCATTTAGAATGTTTTTAGAGCATAAACAGTAGAGTATAGGATTTCCTGAAAGCGCGTTCACGACGCTACGGAAGCCGGCACACCAAACCAGATGAAAGTGCGCATTCAGCGTCTGCTCTTCCAATAATGCAAGCGTAGAAGAAGAAATGTGCTGTTTACCTGTGCAAAGAAAGAAACAACGAAAGAAAAATGTCTGAGGACTTCAGTGTTGAGGAAGAGCATGAGTTCTTTGCCGAGCTGAATGTGCTGGTTTGGTCTGCCGGCTTCCGTAGCGTCGTGAACGCGCATGTGCGCGCTTTCAGGAAATCCTATACACTACTGTTTATGCTCTAAAAACATTCTGAATAACTTCGTTTCGAGTAAATTCTGGATGCTACCCACTCAGGACACTTGGAATACATTGGACGAGCAGTATGGAGGAATATTGACACGTTTTTGTGGACTTTTATGGACCTTTCTGTCTCGGGCACCATAGACCTCCATTATTTGAATGTCAGCAGACAGCAAGAAGCCTCCCAGATCTCCAGATGCATTTGAGATATCAAAAAAGTACTCCAGAGTGTTGTTCAGCATGGGGGTGAGTAGAAAAGGAAGGCTAATCATGTTTTGGGTGTACTATTCCTTTAAATAATCTTTAAAATTGATTAATTAACCAGTCCTATTTTTTAGTTATCATAATAAAGTTGAATTATGTTCATAGTTGTTCAAATATAGTCTATTTTAATGTTTTTAAATGATCAGTATAGTTATAGCAATTTACCTTGGAATATTTTCGGCTTAATTTTGAGGCCATATTGCTAAACTCATTTGAAAAACCTATCAAAAGTCCTTCTTAGCTTCTTCCTCCACTTCCCTATGTGGTCGCGTAGTTTGTTTAACCTATTCTTTTTGTACCTCTCGAAAAAAGCTAGTTTTCCTTCATAAAAATACAAGCCATCATATAGTGAAAAGGAAAAAGTTACTTATGAGTTAAAGCAAGTGTCACAGGTAAGACTTGTCATCATACAGAGATCATATAGTTAACAGTTTTATTTTAAAGCCAATACTTTGAATTACAAATTATTGTCATTACATTGTCACAAGTACAGAGCAACGAAATGAGCTCTCTGCATTTAACCCATCCCCTTGGGGAGCAGTGGGCTGCCATTGTGCAGCGCTCGGGAAGCAGTGTGGGGGTTAAGGGTCTTGCTCATGGACCCAGAGTGGCAGTCTGTGGGAGTGGGGCTTGAACTCAGAACCTCAGGATTTCAAGTGCAATGCCTTAAACACTAGGCCACCACTTCCCTAAGGCCTTGCCTAAGGACCCACACTGGAAGCTCATTCCCCCCAGCTGGAATACGAACCCAGGCTTCCTCTTTGCAGGATGGGTGACTTGCTACTTGAGCCAGCCGTTAAACTTTCTTCATTATGCCTTCTTGCGTCTGCAATGTATTCACCTTTCATGGATCTTATTACAGCAAACGGAGTGATATATTATGTATGTAATATGCTTGCTACTTCCTTTCCACTAGGGATGAACAATTTAGACATAAATCACAACTGTGACTGCTTTTCACCAAAGCTAAGATTTTATTTAAAGTTTCTTTGTCCAAACCACATGCATGTGGACATTTCAATCAATATCGACTTGAAAACTTCCTTGTCCAGAGTCCATTGTGCTAGGACTTTACTGTTACTGTTATGACGGAAAGCTCATATACACTCACCGGCCACTTTATTAGGTACACCTGTCCAACTGTTCGTTAACACTTAATTTCTAAGCAGCCAATCACGTGGCGGCAACTCAGTGCATTTAAGCATGTAGAAATGGTCAAGACAATCTCCTGCAGTTCAAACCGAGCATCAGTATGGGGAAGAAAGGTGATTTGAGTGACTTTGAACGTGGCATGATTGTTGGTGCCAGAAGGGCTGGTCTGAGTATTTCAGAAACTGCTGATCTACTGGGATTTTCACGCACAACCATCTCTAGGGTTTACAGAGAATGGTCCGAAAAAGAAAAAACATCCAGTGAGCGGCAGTTCTGTGGGCGGAAATGCCTTGTTGATGCCAGAGGTCAGAGGAGAATGGCCAGACTGGTTCGAGCTGATAGAAGGGCAACAGTGACTCAAATAACCACCCGTTACAACCAAGGTGGGCAGAAGAGCATCTCTGAACGCACAGTACGTCGAACTTTGAGGCAGATGGGCTACAGCAGCAGAAGACCACACCAGGTGCCACTCCTTTCAGCTAAGAACAGGAAACTGAGGCTACAATTTGCACAAGCTCATCGAAATTGGACAATAGAAGATTGGAAAAACGTTGCCTGGTCTGATGAGTCCCGATTTCTGCTGCGACATTCGGATGGTAGGGTCAGAATTTGGCGTCTACAACATGAAAGCATGGATCCATCCTGCCTTGTATCAACGGTTCAGGCTGGTGGTGGTGGTGTCATGGTGTGGGGAATATTTTCTTGGCACTCTTTGGGCCCCTTGGTACCAATTGAGCATTGTTGCAACACCACAGCCTACCTGAGTATTGTTGCTGACCATGTCCATCCCTTTATGACCACAATGTACCCAACTTCTGATGGCTACTTTCAGCAGGATAATGCGCCATGTCATAAAGCAGGAATCATCTCAGACTGGTTTCTTGAACATGACAATGAGTTTACTGTACTCAAATGGCCTCCACAGTCACCAGATCTCAATCCAATAGAGCATCTTTGGGATGTGGTGGAACGGGAGATTCGCATCATGGATGTGCAGCCGTCAAATCTGCGGCAACTGTGTGATGCCATCATGTCAATATGGACCAAACTCCCTGAGGAATGCTTCCAGCACCTTGTTGAATCTATGCCACGAAGAATTGAGGCAGTTCTGAAGGCAAAAGGGGGTCCAACCCGTTACTAGCATGGGGTACCTAATAAAGTGGCCGGTGAGTGTATGTGCACATGCTGTAGAGACTGTTACTTTCTCTTCCCTCCATGTGATGGCAAACCCACTTTAAGTACACAGAATTACAACCACCTATAGGGCTTGAGAAAGTGTCTTAGACTTAGACAGATTTATTTTGTAATTTTGTATACACAAGTTAAACAAAAAGACATTTTGTTAAGAACAGCTCTCTAGACCATTTCATTGTCATTACTCCTGTTAAATGTTATATGACCAAAATTGATTTCCTCTGCGTTTTCAAAATCGTAAATGATATTAATTACCCAGCCCTAATTACCAGCTCCACTAAGTTTGTGCTTAATTGCAAAACTTTGGATGACAAATTGAGTAAGTCGGTGGATTAACCTCGACATTTTGTGATTTATGAAATATCAAATGGATTAAACCCCAAAATGAAAAATTTCTTAAGTTCAGCTCTATAAGTTATACAATTCACATACATTGGCTCTAATGCTCTTTAGGTTTTATTGTTTTCCTATATATATGAGCTTTTTACCTGTAGTGGGGCAGCCAGGTATGGTTTCCCTCGAGGTGATCTCTCTAATCGGATCTGTGGCCAGGGGATTCTCATCCTCTCACACACAAACTTCCTGAGTAACAATCGGCCAGCCTGTGGGTAAACATGTTAAACATTTGAGACTGATACAGCTTCCTAGTTCTGGCTTAATGCAATGCTTCAGTTTTTTTGTCAGAGGTTTTCATAGCACATGCAAATTGGAATAATAATGAAAACTTCCTGAATCCTTTGATTTTTGTAAATCAGCTGCCATATTTCTTCAAACAAATGTTCCTCTAAAGTAACTATCATATCATTAAAATGTTTGCAGATAACTAGTTTAAGCTGAACCTCAATATATGCAGCAACATTATATTAAATTTCAGTTATTGGCATTTTACTCATGTTATTAGCATTTGTGATGTGAATTCATCACATCAACCAGACTCCTAAACAGCTTCAAGGCTTTTTGGCCTCATAAGCTGCATAGGGTGGCTTTAACCTCACAGTTCAAACTCACCATCGCTAACTTAGCATCCTTAGCGAAAACAAACTGTCCGATCCTGTCCTTCTCTTCCCTTTGGACGCACTGAGCAGCAAACAACCATTCAGACCTACTTGGTGTCCAAGACCCGCAGCGAAAAGCCCAGCGGACAGATCCCATCGCTGCACGCCTCCGTCTCCCTTAATCATCTTTACTCCTGCAAAACTTCCAGCAGTTCACGTGTGTTTGAAGATAACTTTAACATCGCGTATCAACATGTAGAGGTTAACACATTTAACTATGTTTTGCTTCAGTACTTCGAAAGAATATAGCTAAAGTAAAGCGGAATCTCTTAAAGAAAGCACGGTAAAAAAAAAAAAAAAAATGTTTGTTTACATTTCTGCCAGGACAACGCCGTTCACCCGGAAGAGTGTAAATGTCGTCATAAGCGAGCGCGATGCAGGATTGGCTAACAGGAGCTTCTGATACGGTGCGTAATTTTTTGTTGCCTTCAAGTTCTTGAAAAATGTTGTAAATAAGAGATAAAAACGAAGAATGTATCTAATTTGAAGAGGTTATACGCTAAACAAACGTATAACCTTATATATAATCTGAAAGTTTTAGAATTAATAAACGATTTTAACTTTTAATTACATTTTCTTTGAAGACAAAAAAAAAAAAAAAAAAAAAAAAATCGGTCAACTGTATTAGACTGATTTCCTGAAAGCAAAACATCCAAAAAAGTGTAATTAAATAAAGTACAATTTAAATAGAATAGATTACATTTTAACAGCAACTAAACATTTGGAGAAATTCCAGTAGAATTCACACAAGCATTTTTTTACACCACTGTAACAAATGCTTGTGTCCAGCTGAACTGGAAGTAGGGTTGGACTTTTAAATTTCAAGTATGTGATCACAGATGACAAAGAAAATTTAAAGGCAGTCACCCACCCCCTTTAAATCATTTCAATTACTTTATTTGAGCGACTATGACCTGGATGACTGAGAATCTTCACCAGCATCTGACCACTTGGCATATCCTAGATTGTTTGTGATGTTGCTTTTCCTCTGATTGCACTTATATTTCTAAATATTATTTTCTTACATTTTTTATGTACATACAGTGCTCCGAAAATATATATGTTTAGACATATTGAATAAAGTCTGGTTAAGCCACATATTCTCAATAACATACCACTGGAATACTACCTTTGACATGTATGTAAAAAGATAGAAGTTTGGTCCCATTGAGCACAGGTTTGTTCAAAAAAGATAAAACTGAAGTGAAAAAAAGAAAGTCTCAGCTGACCAGAGAACCCATTTCCTACATGTTTGTGATTTATTATATGGATTGAGGTACATTTTAGAGAGACTAATTATTTGTTACAACAGCTTGCTTTACTTATGTAGACCAGATTTGTGGAGTGCGTAGCTGATTGTTTCTCTGTCAATAGGTCCTTCCAATGTAGTTGGGGTTCTCTGTAGCTCCTCCACACTTGCCTAGGCCCATTGACTGTTCCTTTAATAAATGCTCCCCAAGCTCAATTTGTTAGTTTATACAGTACAGTAGCTTTCAAAAGGTTTGTGGTTGTGACTTTTTTATTTCTTTATTTACAGATGATAAATTCCAAAGCTTTTCACTGGCCTGTGTTCATTATTCCATTTTTTTCTCCAATGTATCATAACAAAGCATTTTTTTTGTGTGTGAAAAAGAAATCAATAAATATATACTGTTTTCATTTCATAATCATTACATGCTTCATTTGTCATTTTCAACACTTTTTTACAGACCCAAACCCTCTCATACCACAATATCAAACTCATGTTTACCCTCTGTGTCTGTATGCCTGGTGGACCACTAAATTCAGGAGTTCTGGGACACCTGTCAGCTAACCTGCAAACAGTTCAGATCAGGATATAAAAGGTGCAGTACCCCGCTAGCCTTGTCATAATATACTCGACATGTCTGCTTCCACATCAAATCAGAACATTATTAAGGTAGGAGAGGGAACCCTTCCGTGGAAAGTGAGAAGGAATAAACCCTATAAATGGTGCGCTTTCTGGGTCTACCTGCTGAGATTTCCTCACTTTGCTTGCTTCTTTCCAGCTGCTCTTTCCTTAATTCCAATCCTCAGATGTCCCCACAAAGCGATGACATCTAGTGGAACAGTTGGTACCAGTCTTCTAGGAAATCGAAAACTTCACACAGCCTGCATGTGTCACAGAGGAAGTTCTCTCGGGAGAACTGTATTTTTAAACTGAAGCTCCCCTGCTAAACAAGTGCTAACCTTTATGGCAAAAATCTCCACACCTTGAGATCTGAGGAGAAGTTCTCCACCTCAGTTTTATCTCTGATCTGTCAATCTTCTTTTTTTTCTTACCTTTTTACCCTTTGCTCCGTCTCTGTATTTTTTTATTTCATTTATTTAAACAAGAGCAGTGCGCATTATGCATTAACTTCATAAAGGAGGTATGCATTTATGCATTGTACACCTTGGTTGGACCAGCTGGTTGAAAAAAAATATATCAAATAGTCTAATTCCATTTTATAGAAATAGCATCAGACTACTTCTGTTTGCCAGCTTTTGCTTTTCTTTGTCAAATTGTAAATTTGTGGGTTAAGCCCCTTCCCTCATCTAAACTCGACTTCCCACAGTTAAAGCATCTGAGGAGGAAGAGAAAGGAGAAAACTTCAATTTCAGAGAAACAGAGACTGTCATCAGTAAAATACAAAAGTGAAGAGATGTGCTGTTTTCCAAAAAGTAAGAGGAGTTTTCTTCTCCATGTGTCTTCCAAAGGGAGGCATTTAGTGGCATAATGCAGTGGTACAAGCTGTCCTGTTGATACCAAGCATTCACAGGTCCTGTTCCTTATTAAGATGCTGAGACATTTTAGAAAAGGTATAGTTTACTTTCCCAGAGACATAATTCTGCAGTCAGAGTAAGTTAAAGTGTGCAAAGTAACTGTAAGCATAGATAAAAGTAGAAGGCAGTCTAAGGCGATAACCTCTGAAGGAAGAGAACACTGGTTAAGGACCACATAAATCTGGCGGAGGAAGATTGTGAACGTGTACGTAACTAACCTGGTCTTAAAGTTCTGTCCATGCCCAGAGGGCGAGGTTGGTTCCAGCTGGTCGGCTGCCAATAAGACGCAGCGGGCAACACCCAGAGAGTCCCAGATACTGTAGTCCCAGATGTCGGACGACAGGCAGGAGATCGGTACCAAATAGATGGAGGAAGGCAGGATAATCTAGTGGGCAAAGCAAAAGCCCATGTCGAGGTCGTGCTCAGGATTCAGAACTAGGAGATCAGAGGTCTGAAGAGTTCTGAAGGTAAATCCAGAAATGTGTCAGGAAGCAGTTCCAAGTTTGGTTAACAGGCAGAATCCGACTGAAGTCTGAAGACAGGTCAAGCAAACAGATCAGAACAGGGACAGGCAGGCTCAGAGGTCCAAATGCGCTGAGCAGAATACTTTAAAGCCTGCAATGGTACATCTGGGTCAGAAATGGGAGCTTGAGAACCTCCTTTGTTTTTCATTTATCTGTTGGTATAATTGCCTCACAATGAAAGTTAAAAACAAATATCAGTTCTAAAATTATATGACTGCAGAGAGTGCTCCTTTTATGCCAACAGCCATTCAACTACAAACTTTTTTAAAAGCCGGTTGTTCTCGAGTTAAACCAAGTTTTTTGGCCAGTGGGAAAGGGGTATTAAAGCTGAAGTCTGTAAGTTTTTAAAAATCACTTTTTTTTCATATTGGCTAAAACTGTCCATATGCCCAGACAGCAGTACATGTGATATGTAACCTGTGAAAAAAACTGCTTCAATTGGTACCGCCTACTGCCTGTATTTCACTCTGGAAAGAATAATTCGGGACGAGTCAAAACAACCAATCACAGCCAGAGGAGCGTCTGATGGAGTGTCAATCACAGCTCACACACGCTGAAATTCCACTTATTTTAAAAGAGTTGTGGAAAAGTTTTTTCCATTTCATTAGGTTTTTGTTGTGATTAATGTTGGAGTGTTTAATTACTTAAATTATGTTCTCTTAGTCTGCTGATTTTGTATTGTATAGATTAGTTTGCTCTTTTTGTTGTAGTTTTGTTAAGGTAGATGTATGTAAATGTTCCCTCTTGTGCCAAAATGGCCTGATCGGCAAGCATAAATGTTCCCCTTGTGCGTCAGTAAGGTCAATTTATATTTCGGTTGCTTGTGTTAAGTTTGGTTTTGTTGACCTTTTTTTTTTTTTTGGGCCCAGATTTATGTTTAGAGGTCATAATTTTGTTGTAAAAAATCTGTTTCTCTTCCTACTTTGTTCTGTTCAGTTCACGGGTTGAAATCATCCATAAGACAGTCAACAAAAAGCAGGATTTTATCTGGTTAATAATCATTAGAACATAATGGTGAGATGTTCACAAGTTATGCCCAACTCTTTATTCTCTGGTAACTGAAATCAATATTGGAATTCAAATGCCTGAACATAATTTGTGTTTACCTCATGAAAGTCGATTGTTGCAGGCTATAAATTTGTAGTCACATTTTAATGCTTTCTAGAGCAACCGGTCTGTTGTATGTTATTACATTTTTAAAAGTAAAAATCTGTTTGTATGCTAAAAGAAAACTGTAGAAATAGTTAAACACTAATTGGTATACAAATTCAAAACAAATCAAGACTGGTTCTTGTTTCCGAAATCATAAACGTCTAAAATCATGCCAGCTTAATTGAACGATAATATGCTTAGGGCTTAAAATTATTTAAAATTGAGCTTTATAATACATAAACGCATATAATTTTAGGTTAGAGAACATTTTTGGGTAATGATGAATATCAATCCACACTGTTGAAGGGGAAAATATGCTTGAGCTATCAGTTTGACTTTGTGGCAGAAAATCATTGCTAGAGGGCAGGAATAAAGAAGAACAGATGATTTAAAGAAAAAAAAGGTATTTAATTTTTTAAAACAGCACGTACCCCTCCTTGAACCCCCACCTTAATGTGAATGAGGCGTTTTAGTACTGCCAGGGGCTTAAAAGCCCCTGGCAGCGTCTTCCAAGATAAACAGGCTATGAGTGATGTGTCAGACAAACAGCAGCTCGGCTACCTTCATGAAGCCTAATAATTAAAAGTTAGAGATGACACCAGAGCATGCCGGAACCTTAAACTGGAATCAGCCCAGGGGTTAGGGTTCGTAGGCAAGCATCTAGTGGTTGGGTTATTCCTTGTGGGACCCAAAACAAGTAAATCACATTGGACATGACAGTGATATCTCGAGGGGTATGACTGGGAGTCCGTGGCTCTCTGTGCAAGCTTAGGGTTGTCTATGACTACCCTAGTGATAGTGAGATGAAGCCTCATGGGGCAACCGTTTGGCCAAATTGCTTCAACGATACCCAGTGTTCATGAGGCTTTATGTGAACATGTCACCACCTGCTGGTAGAGAGAATAACTACATTCAGCAAGATAATCTGTGATGCT